GCAAGAAGAAAAAAGAATTGATTTGAGGCTTAATCAATTCCTATCAAGACAATAAAACAACAATGGAGTATTTGCTTTGCAGATTTTATTGTGTTTAGGGAGCACAAAGAATGGCAGGCAGGGGGCAAATGTTAAAAAATGATGAAGCGAACAATGATGAATAACACTTAACATGATGAATGTGAGGATTATCCATTCTTAGACTGAATACGCAACACCAGCAGGGTGAAACTGGCAGGGAGGTCTTAATTAAATGACAGAGATTGAGATGGCCACTATTTCTGGCAGCGGGGAGATGACATGGGGCAGCAGAGGGTGGGGGGTGGAAACACCTGTACAATTTGACCTGTGTTCAGAGGTAGGTGAGGAGCCGGGTGCAGGGACAGGTATGGAAGAGTCGGAGCAGGATTGGAGGAATAAGCGGGGTCTCCTGCCTGCCCTCCGTGCCTAGTGCTAGCCCTATATGCTCTTCACATAGAAAACAGGGAGATCACGCCAGCAGGAGATGACGATTTTTTGTTCTGCACTGATCCCGGTGTAAGAGATGCTCCAGGGGTTAAATGTGCAGGTGGTGATGTTGAAGGGACTCTTGCTCTCGTACCGGTAGGGCCCGCTGGCTACCCCATCTGTCGTGCAGACTTTGCTGATGTTCTCGGCTGTCGCATGGATGAAGGTGTTGGTGTATTTCCAGTACATCACCCGGTCCCACATCATCCTGTTGCAGTAGGCGTTGTTGTTGGTGGCGACGGTCTTGGGGAAGTCCACGTGTTCTTTCCGGAATATGTCATTCAGTGGGTTCCACCTCTGCCCGAGGGTCAGAGCCACACAGGCAGCCAGCAGGGCGAGGGTCAGCAGGAGCGCAGGGCGGGGTCCGCTTGAAGCCATGGCTGTGTCTGTCGCTGGATTGACCTGCCGCGTGGACAAAAGGGGAAGATGAATGGAGACAGCATGGGGTGGGGCTCTGCCTCCTCTATGGAACCTGCTGGACCCAAACCCCCTTCCCAGTCCCAGTCCCATCCCACTCTTCCCCTCCCATTATTCCTGCCTCACTGCATGATGTGCTGCTCTGAGCCCAACTGACATCAACCTCTGCTCCCTTTTCTCTCTCTCTCTCCTCCCCACACTGAGCTGGAGCTAGAACCCAGGAGTCCTGGCTCTGAGCACCACTTCAATAACCACTGGATCATGCTGCCTCCCAGAAACAAACCCTGCAGTTGCAGCCCCATGTGACACTGTTCTCTGTTCTCTCCCGGCTGGTGGAATTTCCGGCAACTTACCCAAGTCCTTGTTCCTTCACTGCTGTTGGAGCGATGGATCCCAGCCTCTGCTGAGCTGAGCCTCACCGTGATCCTCCTGCCTGTCTGGGAACAGGTTATATAGAGGCCCAGCGAGACATGGAGGGGGAGGAGTGGGTAAGGAAATCCAATAAACAATTGGGTAAGGACAATTTCCTGATATCTTGCAACTAAAAGTAGTGGCCCAGCAGGCCAGGCATGGTTGGGGAACAAACAGAACATGTCCTGCCAGAGATCTGGGCTCCACCGAAACATCTCAGGGTGTGTCTATCCAACAAGCAAAGGTGTGATTATAGCATGGGTGGGCAGAACAGTGCCAGCTTTATTCTAGCTAGTGAGGGTAACAATACTAGGTGGCACGGAATTCACCATGGGGTAGCTGTCCCAGTGCCAGCCCACCAGGGACCCTGGCACATACTTTGGTCACCAGCCTGTGCTGCAGTCCAGTCCAACATGTCTCAACTGCTGTTGTTATGCATGTCAGCTAGACTAAAGTTAGCATAGGAACGCCCACCCATGCTGCAAACACAGCTTCATTTGCTGTGTGGATGGACCCCAAGTCCTAACACACTGGCACCTTCCTAATCCAGTCCTATCCTGGGAACTCACAACATTACCGGTGCTCCCCAATCCTGATTTATACCCTCCTGCTATCCCAGACCTAAGCTCCCCACAGCCTGCTCTGCCAATGTCCCTCAATCCCCACCTGGTACCCCCTGATGGCCTAGTCCTGGAGTCTTTTAAAATAATTTATGGACTATATGGACCCAGAGAGTCAAAGATTTTTATGTGACCCTGTCACTGTCCGACTTCAAACACTGTTAAGCAAGGTTCGGGGTTTGGTGTCCAGAAGGAACCAAAGTGCCCCACAGTATCGTAGAAGCTACAGATGGTAATAACGGTCCTTTTGGGGGAAAAGAGAAATTAGTTGAGACGGTCAGGAGCTGTGATGGGTAAAGTCCAATCCTGTGTCCTGGAAGCAAAACCAGACACATCCACTAAAGAGGAGAGAAAATACAGCGTCTGTCTCTAGTGTTGATTCTCATTTGCAACCTCACTGCTGCGGAAACACAGGGCACTCCGAGACCTGGCAAACTCGTACCAGTTGTTCGGGGCATTGTTTTTACCTGTGTCTTTGGTTACTGGCTCACCGCAGTGTTGCAAAACATTCAGTGTTCTCTGGCTAAGCCAGACTCGTATTAGGCAGAAGGAGAAAGGAGAGGGAAAGAAAAGAGAAAAAAATATGGTGGGGAGGGAAAAGACAAAGGGTACATCTACAGGACAAAGAGAAACCTGTGACATGGAGTCTCAGAGCTTGGGTCAATTGACTCTGACGTTCAGGTGTGGGACGGAGCCTGGGAACTGCCCCACTGTCCAGGTTTCAGAGCCGGGACCCAGCACCGTGGTTTTGTTTTTTCAGTGCAGACATATCCCAGTCTCCCATGCCAGGTGGTGGCTGGGGTTGGGCCAGAGCCAGTTGAGGGGGCCATGTCAGCTGGGTCTCTCTCTCTGGTCAGGACATCCCTCTGGATTAGGATGAAGGAGGCCCAGGAGTATCATGCTGGATATTGTGCTCTGAGGAGATGGTAGGGGTGGCAGCCGTGATGGTAAAGCTCGCTGCTTCCCCTGTGTTTGGTCAGTGATTTTTGCATTCGCTTCCTCTCCTATGTCAGTTTTTCTCTCCAATTCGCCTGTGTTTAATGACCCCAGAAGGAAGCGATGGGTGGAACAGCACCTCTTTTCATTGTCTGGTTCACCAGTGAGGCCTAATTCTCCACACACCAGTTTTGGTACTTTGATTTCCAACTCCACACTTCCCTCGTTTACCAGCCATGATCCATAGTCCTTTAGTGATGGCCGGGGGCCTGTTTGTTTGGGCTCATTTAATTAGTTTCTCTTTGCAACTTTTCTGCTCAACCTTTATTGTTATTTGTGACTGGACATTTGGTAAAACTTTCATTCATCACAGCTGAGTTTAATACTAGAGTAAATTTGTAGGCCCAATTATTACAACAGCTCCCCACCCCGCGCAGCTCTGGCGGTGCCCTCAATCCTGACGCACAACCCACTGCAAAGGGACTAAAAGAATTAGACATCACGATAATCCCTTAATCAGTGTCTGACTCAGAATGGAAATAAGGTTATTGTGAGGCATACTTGGCCAGGCAGATAAGTGTCTGTTCCCTCCTGCCTGAAAGGAACCTGCCCAAGATATGTCACCTCCTAGTTCCTTGCCTTGGGAATGTAATTTTCAACACAGACACATAACCCCTTAAACATTATGCATCCCGCTGTGTTTCTGAGGACCAGTGGGCTACTGGCTGTAGGTGGAGACATCACATGACACCCTTTAGTGAACTCCCTCACAGGCATCTACCTGAGTAGCTCCATGTAACAGTCTATTGATTTTTCTCTCTCAGTTAGCACTAAGTGGGTCCCAGGTTCAAATCTCAAATGAGGCAGGTTTTAACAGTTCCTCTCATAGAGGGATCGGGGTAGTAGCTGGACTGACACAACCTTCAGCAATGATTTTTGGGATGGCCAAGGCCAGGGTCCTTTCAGCTCAGTCTCTGATACTAGCCTGTCCCAGTTGCTTTAGAATCATAGAATATCAGGGTTGGAAGGGACCTCAGCAGGTCATCTAGTCCAACCCCCTGCTCAAAGCAGGACCAATCCCCAACTAAATCATCCCAGCCAGGGCTTTGTCAAGCCTGAACTTAAAAACCTCTAAGGAAGGAGATTCCACCACCTCCCTAGGTAACCCATTCCAGTGCTTCACCATCCTCCTAGTGAAAAAGTTTTTCCTAATATCCAACCTAAACCTACCCCACTGCAACTTGAGACCATTACTCCTTGTTCTGTCATCTGCTACCACTGAGAACAGTCTAGATCCATCCTCTTTGGAATCCCCTTTTCAGGTAGTTGAAAGCGGCTATCAAATCCCCCCTCATTCTTCTCTTCTGCAGACTAAACAATCCCAGTTCCCTCAGCCTCTCTTCATAAGTCATGTGCTCCAGGCCCTAATCATCTTTGTTGCTCTCCGCTGGACTCTTTCCAATTTTTCCTCATCCTTCTTGTAGTGTGGAGCCCCAAACTGGACACAGTATTCTAGATGAGGCCTCAACAATGTCGAATAGAGGGGAATGATCATGTCCCTCGATCTGCTGGCAATGCCCCTACTTATACAGCCCAAAATGCTGTTAGCACACTGTTGACTCATATCCAGCTTCTCGTCCACTGTAACCCCTAGGTCCTTTTCTGCAGAACTGCTGCCTTGCCATT